CTAAGGTCAATACACATAAGAGCAATACACGGCTTGCCTGAATATTCATCTTTAAAAGTTGAACGGCATAGTGGTGGAACCAAAATAGACTACAAGGCCATGGCCTTTCCTCCTCACGAAATGGACTCTAATAAGTCGCTATTTCTGCGCATCCGTTTTTAGCGCTTAAAGTGAGACTAATTTTCCCAATTAGACAGCTTAGACAGTACAGGTATTGTTGTCACTTGCCAGGTCTTATCTTCATGTACGCATTAGCCCGGCAATCACAACCGTTGTGGTGTTACAAATGCTCGAAAATACTCCCTACCCCCTCTTTAACTCGATAGTCTATTTATTTCTACCCCCTACCAACACACGCATTCACAGAAAAATTCCTCTATTTCCAACTCTCGGGGTGCGCGATAGACTTACCTCCACGTGGTGCACCCTGGGCAAAGTATACTCATACGGCAAAAAGGCCTATTAACTGGCAGTTGACTTCTCACTTCAAACTACCATCACCCTACTGTATGCCATATTCGGTCCATTCCACAGTACTCATCTTATCTTTTTCTACATTTGTGTCTGTCTCTTTTATATCTTTGAAACACTCTTCTCTTCCCTTCCCCCCCCCCTCTCGACTTTTTCACTTTGATGTTCCTTCCCCTCTGTGAAGCCTGAAGTCAATTAAAGGGCTAATTATGATCATCAAAACGCTTGCAATTTGATATAAATAAATATTTCCAACTCTCTATAAATGCCCAGGTATAAGTGACCCTGCTTTCTGGAATCTGGCATTCCCTTCTTGTACCACACATCTAATCGACTCTCCCGTTTACCTCCAGCTGACCAACTCCTGCAGTCAGGTCCATTAGCCAACTACCCACAAAACCATTTGCTAACAAATAAGCCATTTGAAAGACCGCAGACTTTTATTCCAGTCAAATCGGATACCTATGGGAAAACAATACAACAGGAGTCATAAAATTCATCACCATCGGGATAAAAAGAGCTGAGAAAAGAGAGAATAAAGGGTACTAGTTAGAAGATCTCGCATTTCCCATGGTCAGAGGTCGTGGGGTCATGAATTCATTTAACTCCTCCTCCGTAATAGCAGCCCGACGTTTTTGATGCTCAGTCACAATGTTCGTCAGGAGAGTAATCAGCTCCTTCTTTAAGTCACCAGTCAATAGCTCCCCTGCAGTGTAATCCTATGACAAGAAAGATTCGATGGTTAGCAACTGGCGGAAACGTTAATTGACTTTGTGATTAACGAACCTTTCGAATTTTCTCCAACTTTTCATCATCTTCGAGGAAGAATCTGAGATACTGATAGGAGACGTCAACGTCGCAGTTGCCTCCCTTCTGTCTGTGCTCCTCAATTGTAGCACCACCACCGGAGAACGCATATTTGTTAATCTAAAGCAAATATTAAACTATTTCAGCTACTTAGATCCTAATGTGCAGAATTACTTATCAATAACATCAATCCTATCTAATGGGGTTGCGAAAGCGAGGTTAATCAGCTGGCTTCCAGACATGTTTTCGACATCTCCAATATACAACTCCTAATATTTGCGTACAGCAAGGGAATTCGTACATCTAACTTGCTTTAGAGCATGATGTCATACTTTTGCAACACCTCACTCTATCCAAGCCTGATTCATAAAGAGCGCCATTTTCAGAAAAGAATAATAAAGGGGTTTAGGGTATGCATAAAATTTTTCTAGAGGCAGAATGAATCAATCAGCCGAAAAGACAGCTAATACTATCTTCGGGGAAAAGAAGTCGACAATTTTACTGTTGAGTAGAGGGAAGTCTATGGCATGTGCCAACAGCCAAGACCTCCAATCATTATATGAAGAAAGAAAGCTGATTTATCACCCACCTCAGCTTTAGGAAATGGAAATTATGGCAGAAGAAACATAGCAGGAGATATCATTGACTGAGAAGCTAAAATGATGTCCAATTAACAGTGTAAAGCAATTGCAAGCGTCATAAAAAAAGTAAAAAAAAGTGATGAAAAGTCCACAGGTTGAAGGATTAATCACACGCAAAGCATCAAATCACTAGGCAATTAATGATGATCTCTCCTATGTCTATTGAACACAGGCAAGCTTTGTAAGTGCTTCCTTGGAATTATTGAAAAAAAAACGGGATGATTGACTCTTTACTCGATCTGAAAAGACCCAAGCACTAATCAACTTCAGTTAATGATTAAGCAGTTGAATCAGAAGCAATTATGAAAACAAAAAACGCAAATACTTCCCCATAAGGTGGGCTTTAAAGAAGATTGCCACGTTCAAAGCAATGCAGCAGCAGCTAAATAAGGCCCAATCACTCACCTTTGTTTTGATTTGTTTCGGCGTATCTGTAAGGAATATCGATGAGTTCGGATCCGAAGCACTCATCTTTGTGGAACTGCCTTGAAGGGCCGGGAAGAAGACGGAGAAAATGAGAGAGGGTTTCGGCAGTCCCAAACGAGGTGCAACATCTCGAGTCATGCGGAAGTAGGGATCCTGATCAATAGCACATGGAATTAAACATCCGATTTCCGATTTGAGTTTCTTCTTCTCGTCTTCCTTCTTACCTCCGCCTTTGCCCTTCTTACTATTTGCGGTATTTTTATGGCCATCTACTTTAGTCTGCTTCATCTCCTGCTCTAGCTTTCCAAAAATGTGTGGAAATGCCGTGGTGAAACACGGGGCACCTTGAACAGCAGGAAAGGCAATTTTGCCGATGCAATCATTTTCGGTAAAACCGAAGATCGCCCGCGCCTGATTGAAGGTTACAAGGCGTTGAATGCTAACAACGGTGCGGTAAAACTCTGGGCACTGACTACAATGGGAAGTAAATAAAGAAAAGAAGAAAAGAATGTCTTCGTCGGTTAGAGCCTACAGCCTATAGCATAACAAAAAACTAGGAATTAAGAGCATGTTTACCAATGATGTAGAAGTTGTAGGAGTTAGAATTCACAAATTACACAGCCCTTAAATAGCAACTACATTCACTTTTTCAGACGGATAAGAAATTTGCATTGTGTGCCGAGATGAAGGCACGTACCTATTCTCAATTCAGTAAGTACTTGAGATTCATAGTTAAACGAAAACGGAATGAATGTATAGCGTCAGTGTCCCATTTCGTAATAAGACGCATCAATCGAAAATCACAGCAAAGTGAAACATCAAACTGACGAGTAAACCGATGAAATTTGCGATATAACCGAGAACAAAGGAAATATAAATCTCTAAAAGTTCAAATAATTCGATTTTTAACGAATTTACCAAAAAATATCACTCAAGAATTAATGACAGAAAGATTGGCATAATTCGTAATTAAAATAAATATACCTTAAACTAACATTCGCGATCAATAGTAGCCACGAAGGAATAAATTGAATAAATTTAAATAATTATATAATGAAACGGCAGCTTAGCTAGAGCCAGAAATACTTCAGAAGAATATTTAATTTACTTCAAAATGTCGAGAGTTTTGTAGTAAAAGCTAGTAAATGGAAAATAGTTTATTCAAACCGAGTTCTTCTAATTCCTCCTAAACATCATTAATCATTAATCAATCATTCCGATTGCCGACATTGAACGACGCTGTTTGACCCAATGGCACCTAACACTACCTAGGTAAACAGATTGATCACTACGCCACTAACGAACTCAGAAGTAAAAAGTTAGCAAAACGTATCATCATAGAAAAATAAGGGAATTTTCGTTTACGATAAGAATTTAAGCATTTGGCGACGATCCACCAAGACATATATACCTAATTTGTAAATAACTACAGTGATTCAAAGAGCTTCTAGTACCAAGATAATAAGAGCTAGAAATACATTACGATACTGTCCGTAGATTAGACTCGCATCATGTGTGCCACTTTCTCCATCATTTACATTAGCCAGATCATAAGTATGAAATCACTTTACAGAAGTAAATGGCATAAAGAACTAAGTATTAATGAAATATTTTGGTCCCGTTCTTTCAAGCCTAATTTTAGCATATAGAAAAATTAAATGCCATTGCTATATATATAAGAGGTCGCGCGTGATTAAAGACTAAGATAAAATTTTAATAATCAATACCAAATTAACCAAACAAACATTATCACACAAGACACAAATCTGATTTCTCGTTAACGCGTTAATTCACATGAAACAAATAGTTGACTAATATTATCATATATTATGCATAAAATACTTCGATAAACATACCCCATGTATGTGAAATTGTTGAAAATGAAGGTATTCTTAGGGTCAAAACCAGTAGCAATAATATCCTTAGCGTTTTCCCTGGCCAAGTTGATGATCTCGTCCATAGGAATATTTCTCCACAAAAATTTTTCATCGTCGGTCAATTGAATCACAAGAGGAACATTGAATACATCCTGAATCCACTTAGTGAGGATGAAAGGAATGAGATGTCCAACATGAAGTGATGAAGAAGAGGGACCGCGTCCAGTGTAAAGATAAAAAGGCTTGCCTTTCTCGTACATGTCAAGAATATGCTCCAGATCTCGATGAGCAAAGAAAATGCCTCGACGTATAAGGTGATGCACAGGCTTGCCAGTCACCTTCTCGAACCGCTCAATAAGAGCAGGCTCAATTGAGGAACAACCAAAACGTTCAATCAATTTTGCATAGTCAACACCAGATTCGGAAGAAGCCTTTACGTCCCATGGAGTCACAATATCACCCTCTTCAGTAGACGTATCAACTTTCACCTATGATCAATAATATATTTTAAGAAACAATTTATTGATAAGCAAGGATGATCATCGGTCTTTCTCATTACCTTTTCAAATTGTTCGGACAAATTGGTTCCGCCGTCCTCTTTTGTTTTCATATCTGAATGTTTCTAAAAAACGAGACCTATTTCAATACAGCTTGTAAGTAAAAATGATGAAAAAATCAAAATATAAATTTATACATTCAATCACTTTTACTTTAATTTATGCGATATAACTATACAAAACTGAAAATAATGGAAGATTTTGTAATCGCCATCAACCAACCTATCAATGTGTGAGACAAGCCAGGGTATAGACAAGTTCCATAGTTTACAACTTGGTCACATGTCACCAACAAAAATGGGTGGATGTCTTCGCTTTAGCTCAAGTCTTCCTTCTGTTATTTTTCCCGATTTTCAATTTTTATAAAATTATTACATGGTGTGAACTATATATATTAATATTTTCAGTACGTAGATGAATGGCTACGGTTCATCCGTATTAATTTGTTATAAAAGATAATTTCGCAAAAAAATTGTAAGTCATTATTTTATCTATCAAATACTGTTCGATTAACCCTGAGAATAGCAGATAAATTAAGTTACTTAATTGAAATTGAACATATGTTAGTGCACTCACTTTTAGACCAAAAGGATATGATGGAATGCTTCTTCAGCTCTACGGAGTACTAGCAAATTTCAGGTGTTTGGTTTCACTAATGTGCAAGTGTAAAGTGCCAAGGCAACGATTCAACGTACCCACGCGAAACACGCCTTCCCAGATCATAATTAAAAAATTTAAAGTCTAAAATTTGTTGTATTTATAAATTAGTTGTCAGTTAACATAAGAAGGAGCACAGAAGCTAAGTGTTAGCAATTCATACTGAAGAAGCCAAAATAACTCTTCAATCTATGAAGGCATATAAGGAAGATCATCTTTCCAATTAGTTATTTAATATCTTTTCTTCGAGAATGTCAAAATCGCGATGTATAATGAGAATATAATTTGATACATAAATCAATGTCATCATTCTTCACTAATTGGTTTCGAAAAATATTTTTAAGGGAACTTAATATTTTGTAAAGCATATTTTTATAAGAAGGATGAGGTTAGTGATGTTAAGTGGCTGTTCTTGCTAATACATCACTCTTATAGCTTCAAAGAAGGTAAACTTTTGAGACGAAAGAACGGAAATAATATTTTGCTTTCAGGAAATATTGTAAGCATCGAGAGGGTGAGCTATTTTAGTTTGGTATTGACTAACAAACTTGAATTGTTACTTTAGTCCCCTCTACAGGTTCTACAAATCTGAGATCACCTGGTAATCGGAAGCGATAAATTACTAGCAAAAGCATCACATTTAGGCAAGCCCAATCGACATTGGAAATATTAAAGTAGCCAATCAGCACATTGATACATTGACAAGTTGACAGGTTCGAGACGACAGCTTGACCACAGTGTAGATTTCTTATTGCGCTAGCGAATAATTATTCTTGATAACCTAAGAGAAATTTGAAATTAAAACAGTTTTCATAAAATAAAATAAAGGGTGCTTTTAGTTAATTCAAAACTTTAGCAGTTGATAGTAAAACATTCTTTCATAAAATATGCCATTTGGTCTTAAATTTAATAAATAATAATGTGAACCAACGTTTATTGCCAAAATACGTATTTAGTATTTAGCCACTTACCATTAACGTAAAACCGCAGTGGATAAATTTTCGAAAGATAAAGTTACCTTGAGAAGCATCGTCGAAAATTGAACCCGTATATATAAGATTTAACGTTTTCTCTAAAATGTTATTAAATAATTTTAAACTGTAGCGTTGGAGTATCAGGGTTGAAAATAAGCCAAAATATAAAAATTGATTCTTATATCTCTAAGAAGATAAACAATGAAAAGGAGGATTAGTTATTGCCTAATAATTGGTGGGAATTTAAGATCCTTATTCTAGTTAACAATATCACAGCCTCCCTATTTGACGAACGAAATAAAATAAATTAAAATCATATTTTGAATAGTCTCATTGTTGAAATATTTTTTAAAAAGAAAAGGCATCATATTTCCTTGAAACACAAGGTATTAGATGATTGGTTGAATAGATTTATTTGCTACAATTTGCCCGCTGTCGTAATCTTCCATGGGTTTGTTCTTTTTATTTTTAAAATTATCGATAAGGTGGAATCTTGTCCGCATTCTATAGACTTTTTGGATCTCGTGAAAGGCGGATACTTATTCTTGGTCTAGATGGAGCTGGAAAGACCACAATATTATACAAACTCCAAGTTGGCGAAGTTGTAACTACAATACCCAGTATGTTTTATCACATTACTTCTTTTCCATTAATTTTATTTATATGCTTTTCAGACTAAATATTGTTATGTTTTTTCGTTGATCTGATTTTATTTTTTTATGCCTAATATTTTAATTAGTCTTAAAGTTTTCCTCTTTGATTGAAATTATTAGTTCTATTCTTTATTAATAGCTATCGGTTTCAACGTCGAGACAGTTCATTATAAGAATTTGAAATTCCAAGTGTGGGATCTAGGTGGCCAGACCAGTATCCGTCCTTATTGGCGTTGCTATTATGCCAACACAGATGCAATAATCTATGTTGTTGACAGTATGGATCGCGATAGAATTGGCATTTCAAAACAGGAACTTATTTCAATGCTTGAAGTTTGTCAATTATTTCTAAACTCATGTCCATATTGATTATGCTATAAGTTCTTCGACTGTTTCTTTTTCTTATAGGAAGAGGAGCTAAAAACTGCCGTTCTTGCAGTATTTGCCAATAAGCAGGATATAGAAGGTTGCATGTCTGTTGCACAAATTGCTTCTGCTTTCGGACTAACTTCCATCAAAAATCGAACTTATCAGATTTTTAAAACATCCGCTGTGCGTGGAGATGGCTTGACTGAAGCTATGGATTGGTTGGCAGAGACCTTAAATCGACAGTCTTGAAGACATTCGGTTAACGTTAATAATCCCGTGCACATAGGCTGTGAGCTGATACATAAATTGACCGTGCTTGTCGGATCCTGCTTCTTCGAACTACTTCCATTCATCTACGTGTTATCTTTGTATCTATTAACAATTTCCTTCCGTCTCTACCCACTTAATAGTTGTTTGCGATTTCTGTGTCTTTACTAATTATATTACTGTTTCTTTAATTGTTATGAAATGAATCCTGGTATGTTTTCTGGCCTTTGCAATTAGTCTTTGTATTTTTTTCATAATTTTGTAGTTTTGTCGTAAATAATTGTAAAGCTAGTCATGTTGAATCAGTTGATTTGAATTTTATTAAATGCAGTGAATATGATATTGTTAAGTAGACGTTAATTTGAAGCTGCTGCATTTCTCTTGCTTTTTCTCCAGATTGTAGATTTCTTCTACTTGTTTATATGTTATAGGCGGGTGTTCCTCGAGTATTTCGTGAGCCAACTGTCGATGTAGTTGTGGTACCAATGCCTAAAATTTCAAGTACATTCAGTCTACTGGTGGATATAAGTAGCCAATTAAAAATATAATCAAGTCGGTTTCTATGACTCACCAATTTTCTTCGGTGTTCTAAGTAGTGTTGAGGGGTATACGGTACGTCGATACGCCTCAATAGCTCTTCATACTAAAGTATGATATAGCTAAGACATGAAAATGGCAAGATTTTTAGTCTCATTACATTACAAATTCGTACCCCTTTGGGTCCAAACTGATACTTCCGGCAGGCCATTCGAATAGAACTACCCTTTTTGGAACTCATTAGTTCATTTGCATTTGGTGAAACTTCACCACTTGCTTGATTAGAAGGTGCTGAAATGAAAATTATAAGCAGCATGTAAGCGGTCATTATTTTAAAAAGCCTACCTTGTTTGAAAGCTTGATCGGTTTCGTATTCGTAGACCTAAATATAATACAAGTAAATCAACTTCATTAACAGCAGTAGAAATTAAATTTGTAGGTGAGATTGAATTTCACTCCTGGTTGTCCAATTATAGAAGAGCGATGTGAAAATAGAAACCTAACTTCCCTGAATGTAGAGACGAAGAGAATGAATGGATTTAAATGGTATAGTGATCTTAGGATCGCTGACACTTTTAGTTCGATAAAATGACTAAATGCAAACTTTGAACATTTTAGAGATTCCGAAATTAGGGTTTGATGCGTATTGGATGATACTTTCTTTCCAAAAATTTGATCATTTTGTTTGAACTAGTGCTTTCGATCGATAATCTTTCCGGAATTCTAATTTTAGTACTAAGCACAATATGCTATCGAATTAGCTTCCAAGTGAGCTAAGTTGTACAGAATTTCACAAACTTATTGAATGCGAGCAAGACACATTTTTATTTTTCCCTTACCATTGTAACTTTTCACAATAGTAGTAGCGTGACTTAGATATGATGTATTGCCTGTGGGATTTACTTTTTCCCGATGTTCCCAGTACATTATTGATACTACCAATCCCTGTTTTAGCTTGTGAGGAGGAAGATGTCCCCATTCTACATAACCTATCATGCAAAATTTGACTTGAATTATTTTCCGAACCCATTAAGAGAAGAAATACCAGCTGTTAGTTTGAGTATGGGATATAAATTTCGGACTCATACCTCGTTTAGATTACTCTTTTGGGCCCCACAATGAAATAACCAGCATACTAGATTTGAGTGAGATGACAAAGAGGGCAACAGCGACTCCAATAATCGATAAAATTAGCCATCCGATATCAATTCATAATCATTAAGTATAAGACCTCAAAGAGCAAGCAGTTGTTAGAAGCATAACAAGGATAATATGGTATAAGTGAATCGATAGATGACAATCTAACAGGATGGCTAAACTGGTAGAGAGAAGATGTTAAGTGCGTCCATAGTTTAATAATTGCTAACTGATTTGGCTCTTATCCTTTTAATCAGCTGCAAATTTTAATTTAATAGGCTGCTTATTAATATTTGTGAATACGAAACAACTAACCCGAAGAAAGTAAGATAAAAAAGGTACCTGCGAAAGGAGATCATCCACTTTATGAATTGCAATTTTCTTTAATTTGCGCTCGTCAGCCAGGCGTTTCTTCAGAGTCTCAACATCTCGTAAGGCCTTTTCCAAGGCTTGATTTTTGGTCTTTTCATGCGACGCTAACCGTTCACTCAGGTCTTTTATTTGTGCATCCTTCTCAGCGATGTCACCAAGCTGTCAAGAGAAAGAAGTGCTGCTGCATTAGCGTCCTCGAGTAAATTTTGACAGGAAGCGCAAAATTTAAAAATTCTATAATATCTAGTTATTTTACTCACACATATATATATTAAATTTGAATAGGTTAAAACTTATATGACTATTCCGGCCGTAAAGATG